AAAAAAAAAAAAAAAAAAAAAAAAAAAAAAAAAAACTTCCATTAAAATGATGACAATCAGCTCAATCTGTTCTTTTTTCAAGCTCCGACCACTTTTCTCGTTTAGCGGCAATAAAGCAGAGATTGAAATCAGTAAAAATGAAACAAACGAAAAACCTATTGAAATTACGCTTGAGCGTATAAAGTGTGTTTGTCTGTAAATCGCTCAAAGTCTAAGCAGAATTGCTTTGGAAAGCCAACTTTGTTGGTCTTTGCTGTGTTGGTGCCAACAAAATCGTTTCTCCAAGTGTCAGATATCGATTCGTGACCAATATTATTGCCTACTGGCGATAATGGTGATAATGGCGGTGATGGTGAATACTGTTGATCTTGTTGATAATGACGATTCTGTGTTACAGTCCGTATCGGTTGAAACGCGGAATCCTGATATATCATAATAATGGTATGACACTACTTCAACATTCACAACTATTGCATTGAATTAAATACATCAAACAGTCAGTGTAATTCCTAACTGTGAAAAAGGCAAACATCCTGTTGTTAGCATTAGTGGGATTTTAAAAATGAAATCCAATGCCGTTCAAAAAGGGGTAAAAAATAGAAGAAAAAAATGGTTAGAAAAACGAGCATCGGAGGATAAATATGTGTATGTATATTATAAGAGAATCAACAGTTTGCAAATTTTGCTGATCATGCTCTTTTTCAAAAGAAAATAACACAGTTTCACCTGTTCGTTTACTGGAATTGATGAAGCACCACCAGACTCATTGCCAATTTGTGGCTCTGAAAAAAATTTCTTGTCAATTGTTTTTTCGAGGTTGCTGGAAAAAAAAAACGATTAAGAGCTTATTCACTACACAGCGTAAATAAATAGCAACTGTAGACCTATGAAGACCTATGTGGAATATAAACGAGGAAAAAAATAATAAAAAAAGTTCAGACAAAGGTCAAGAAACACAGCCACTAGTTAGTTCTCTCACTTTTTATCGTGTAAACGGAAATCCTTTAGCATTACTTAAAATTGTACCGCTAATTATTAACTAAGCAGTACTATCTTTTGTCATTGTTGTTGGTAACAAAAGCAGATTGAAACTGTATCTGTAAAAAAAAAATTTTTCAACCCCTTCGTCCACAACACCATTCTCTATCTCAACACTGTTACCGTTTCTGATACTACCCTCCTTCTAAGAAAGCAAAACGTTGTAAAAATAAAGCGTATCGTCCGAAAGACAACTAGAGATCAAACTATAATAGTCAAAAAAAGACGCAGTTACACGAAGTAAAGAGTAAATGAATTGACTGAAAAAAAGCAACTGTAACTTGATAAGCAATTTAATATGTCGAATTTCAAGTGGATTATCGATTGAAAC